ATGAAAGGGACCATGAAAGTGGCTTATATTTGGAAAAATTACAGAGAGAATGGTAGGTAGTTTGCAACAGGGGAAAAAGTAGTAAGTAAGAAAAAGTGTTGTGGAGAAGAATTATTATCATAGGAGACAGTTTGCCCTACTTTCTTTTCTCACATTCTGAAATCTATTAATCTTTTACTTGCTTTATTTCATAATTCCCTGCAGGCCAGAGCTGACAGCTAACCCCCTGTTTTATCTTAAACTACTCAAAGCACATGGGAACTTACCCTGCTGAGTCTGAAGGTGGATGCATGATTACAGCAATCCACTGTTTACTCCAGTTCGGATGATCATCATTGCTTGAGAGAAACCATAATAATCTCAGAACAGTTGACAGACTGCTAAAATACATAATCTGCTCCCAGCTGAAGGCTAGAAACCAAGTTGACCAATTTTTTTAGAAGTAATTATTTATTATATAAGTCACTCTTACACATAAATGTAGTATTATTTCTGAATACTGTGCTATTAACAACTGCTTTGAATAGGGGCAATATCAAGCAGTTGCACTGTCTATAACTCCTGACTGTTTATCAGACCTGTTCTCAGTCTATTCCCCTTGAAAATGGCCTTTACAAATTCCAGATTTAGCTTTAGCTTTAAGATTTAGCTTTACTATACATTGTTGTCACTACATTTCAGCATAAAATCCAGAGAGAAGGCAAGTGCAGCAGCATTCATGCCTCAAAAAATAGGGTTCAATTGGATTTTCTACAGAAATTTCATTTTACTGATGTTTAACTTCTACTGAAAATTGATATGCCTCAAACAGATTCGTGTGTTGAAGCAAAATAAAGCACAATAGGAACTGCCCACTGTTTATACTCATCTGAATCATGAAAAAATCAGCTTGTATATTGCTTTTCATCTTCAAATTTTTACATGTATATTCACCAGGGAGAAATAAAGTACTAATGCTCGACATAGATCCCTTTTCTTGTTGCAGGATATCATTTGCTTTTGTTGTTTTTGGTAAGAATGTTTGAAGAGAATCTGTTGATGTCCTCAGTTTATAATTACAAAGAATGAAGAAAGAAGTGATGCAGAGGGGAACATAGTGACCAAGGATCAGGTTAATGCTGAGGTACTTAATGCCTTCTTTGTCTCAGTCTTTAATAGTAAGACTAGTTACTCCCTGGGAACCCAGCCCCAGCCCCAGCCCCTTTTGCTGGAAGACAGTGATGGGGAACAGAATAGGCTCTGCATAATCCACGAGGAAATGATTATGAACCTGCTTCAAAAGCTGGACAGTCTTAAGTCCATGGGGCCAAATGGATTGCACCCTAGAGTGCTGAGGGAGTTGGCAAATGTGGTTGCCAAGCCACTCTCTATTATCCCTCAGTCCTGGCTAACAGGGTATGTCCCGATGGACTGGAGACTGGCAAATGTGACACATATCTTCAAAAAGGGACAGGAAGATGATCCTGGAAGCTGCAGACTATGAGTCTCACATCAGTGCTAGAGAAGGTTATGGAATGGGTAATCTTGGGAGCCATCATGGATCAATTAAATGTCAATCAGGCCCAGTCAGGATGGGTTCATGAATGGTAGATCCTGCTTGACAAATTTGATATAAATCTATGACAAGATGACCCACTTAGCGGATGAAGGCAAGGCTGTTGATGTGGACTACCTGGAGTTCAGTAAAGCCTTTGACACTGTCCCCCTGTTGTGGTTTGGTTATTTTTTTGTTGTCAGTATTCCACACCAGAACATCATGTGAACCAGTGGGAGTTAAAGAATTAATATTCTGGTTCTGTTTACTGCCTCTTATGGGCATTTTGAATATTCTGAGGGGAGGAGTAGCATCCCCAGAGGACTTGGTTTGAAAAGGAAGTGAGGTGGAGCTCTGGACAGGACCCCAGGCATCTCTCTCTTTCTTGGGGCTGGCTCAGCTGGCTGTGGAGAAGGGCACGTGCTTTCCTTGCATTTTGGGTACTCTTCTCTCTCGTTTTGTTTGATTTGGTTAAATTTAGTAATTACTGTTCCTCATCAGATCATTGCAGGTGTGTTTCTTTTGTTAAAGCCATCTAATTGCTCTCTGCCCTTCCCCCTCGCCACCCTCCTGCAGAGCACAGCCCATGGTGTGCCCTGCTGTGAGACCGGGGCTGGCCAGATCGTGTGACAAATTGTTAGTACCCCTTCTTTTTTTATTTTTCTTTACCCTTTTGTCACTCCTTGTTTCCTGGGCCTGTGCCCCCCTGTCACGGACTCATGGAGAAGCTGGCTGCCCATGGTTTGGATAGGTGTACTGGGGGAAACACTGGCTGGATGGCTGGGCCCAGAGAGTTGTAGTCAGTGGAATTAAATCCAGTTGGTGGCCAGTCACAAGTGGTGTCCTCCAGGGCTTAGTATGGGGCCGCTTCTATTTAACATCTTTATTAATGATCTTGATGAGGGGATTGAGTGCATCCTCAGTAAGTTTGCAGATGGCACCAAGTTGGGAGGGAGTGTTGATCTGCCAGAGGGGAGAAAAGCACTACAGAAGGCCTGGATAAACTGAATTGATGGGCCAAGGCAAACTAGATGAGTTTCAATAGGGCCAAGCATCGGGTCCTGCATTTTGGTCATAACAACCCCAGGCAACCCTACAGGTTGGGGAGGAGTGGCTGGAAAGCTGCCTGATGGAAAAGGACCTTGGTGTACTGATGGACAGTGGGCTGAATATGAGCCAGCAGTGTGCTCAGGTGGCCAAGAAGGCCAATGGCATCCTGGCTTGGATCAGGAATGGTGTGGTGAGCGGCACCAGGGAAGTCATCCTGCCCCTGGACTCAGCACTGGTGAGGCTTCAGCTCCAGTGCTGTGTTCAGTTTGGGGCAGCTCAGTACGGAAAGGACATGGAGATGCTGCAGCAGGTCCAAAGAAGGGCAGCAAGGCTGGTGAAGGGCTTGGAGAATATGGCCTGTGAGGAGAGACTGAAGGAAGTGGGGCTGTTTAGTCTGGGGAAAAAGAGGCTGAGGGGAGACCTAATTGCTCTCTTCCAATATCTGAAAGGTGATTACAGCGAGAGTGGGGCTGGTCTCTTCTCACTGGTGACAGGTGACAGAATGAGGGGAAATGGCCTCAAGTTGCACCAGGGTAAGTTCAGGTTGTATATTGGGACAAACTTCTTTACACAGTGTTGTTAAGCACTGGAATAGGCTTCCCAGAGGGAGGTGGTTGAGTCACCATTCCTGGATGTGTTTAAAAACCATTTGGATGTGGTGCTCAGGGACATGATTTAGGGGAGGGTTGTTAGAGTGAGGGTAGTACAATTAGGTTGATGTTGGTCTCGGTGTTCTTGAGTGTCTTTCCCAACCTGAGCAATTCTATGATTCTGTGATTTAAGACAGAGTGAATGAAAATCTGGAAAACCCATTCATAGGGAATTTTTAATGCACCTCATTACATGGAGATCATTCTAGATGTATACTGCCATTAGGTACACATGACAAATATCTTTATTACTTTTGTGGGAAACATTTCCCAAAGGTTCTTCAAATCAGCAACAAGTTTCTGCATGCCATTTTGAATCTTTATATTATCTGAATTCTAATCTGATGCTCATCTGTAAAACAACATTATGAAAGTTAGTAAGCATTTTCCATTTCACAGTGATGTGAATGATTTATTTTTTTTTAATTGATTTTGATGGTCAAATAGCAAGACTCATGGTGCATTGCAAATATGAGCGCACTTTAACTTACACTGGCAAGGCATACAAGAGTAGAGCTGTACTAGTTTGAAGTGTACCCTCCAAATTTAGAAATATATGTCATTTATATGGTCTTAACGAACAATTTTAATTGCACAGGACTTTCAGATGTTACTTTAATGTTTTTCTTTGTTCTTCTTATGGTACACCTTGGCCAATATAAGTGCCCACTGAATTCCAAAATTTTGGAAATTCATGAGCCCCATGAATCCTCATCAAGATTCTGTGATAGTGACTACAGTAAATATGGAGAATAAGACTGAAAAGATAGTTGGTAGATAGAACTTACTGCCCCCTTTCTAAACAAACAATGCTTTGCAGTCTCTAAAGAGACTTATGTAATATGAGTTTTCGTTATCATTATTCTATAGAAGTATCAAGGTTTCGGAAATCGGAGATGAAGTGAAAAATCTAGATGGGATTGTCTTGAATAAGGAGGTGGCGTGCAGGCTAGCGTTATTTACATTAATTAATTTTTCTCACATATTGCAAAAAAGTTTAAAAAAGTACAAAATCAGCAGGACTATTAAGTCATTTAGGTATTGTTCTTCAAAGCATTGCTTATAGAAATAATTCCAAAATATTTAATTATTTCAGTGCATACCTGTGAGCATAGGCTTATGTAAATGGTGCAAGCATTTTGTGTATCATTTGAAAGCACTTGACATTTTCTAGGAGGTACACCACACAATGGCATCAATAGTATTTTGGGGAGACTTCTTAAGAAGTATAGTGCATTCTCTAACAGTGAGGATGCAAACAAAAAATATTTTCCATATGCAAAGTATACAGTATGAAAGCTTGGAATATCTAGGAATAGATACCTAGGAATAGGTTTTGAAATACAGATTTTGATAATGCCTCACTTCTCAAATGTAAAAAAGTGACAATAGTTTCCCTAAATTGTAAAGGCATAGGAAAATAATTTCTGTATTGTGAGCATCATGCAATTAAGCAAATGCTGAAATGCATTCTTACCAGATGGACTGATGTAGGAGTTGATGCTGAACAAAATTAATAACCTATGAATCATCATAAGAGAAATTAAACTCAGGAACTAAGAAATTCTGTATTGTGCAATATTATCTGTCTGGACTTGTTATTATAGCTCCTCTGCAGTTGGGATATGTGAAGGGATTTCAGTGACATCACTAGCAAGTCAGAATTGTAAAGAGGGTTATTTCCTTTCAAGTTTATTTTGCTGAGTAGAAATGTAAAATAAATCTGTATTTTAAAATATTATTATTTTTTTCTTTCTTTCTTACAGCTTGTGGCCAATGCAATTCTTTTTGTCAGTGTAAATTTGTATGGAGTCTTTGTGAGGATCTTGACGGAAAGGGCTCAGAGGAAGGCGTTCCTTCAGGCCAGGAACTGCATAGAGGACAGGCTGAGGCTGGAGGATGAAAATGAAAAACAGGTCAGTTTTTTCCTCTTTGTTTCTTCTGAGGTTGTTGTAGTTCCATGAAACACAGGTCAGGACACTACTCCTGAGCGAATGGTAGGGAGTGTGTATGCTTCCACTGTGAAAAGAGCATGCTGCCTCCTGTGCCCACTTTATCTCTTCATCCCTAGTACGCACATGTGCTTTGCTCTTCACCATCGTTTTTTTTTCTTTCTTTTCCCTTCAAGGATATTATTGTGTGTGTGTGTGTTAGCTAAGCTGTAAAAATTCCTCTCCTACATGTGTGCTATACCTAGTTTACATTTATAACACATATGAAGGAAAGTTGTCTCTGTCATGTGGAGAAGTGTTCCAATCAAATTTGGAAAGAATTAAAAAACTGCTATACTGAAGATCTTGCTGTTCACGTGATACACCCAGATTCAAATCTTGAATCCATCAAAATCTGTTAATTCCGAAAACTTTGGGCAACTCTTATTTTCTGTCTGTGTGGCAATAGAAGTCCACTGTAGACTAAATGCACAAGTTCTCTGATAGTAACAGCCCTTATTTATTTCTGTGGAAACTACAACAGATACAAAGAACAGAAATAGCACTATTTGATAGAGAACATTCCCAGCTAAAAAACACTATTTTTCAACATAGCACCAACAGCTACATGCTTTCATCGATGATGAACAAGAGTCTGCATGTTGTGCTTGCAAAAAATCTGCACTAGCACATGTCACCACTATCATTTTCACTACTGCTGAAACACACTGCCCACTACTTCACTGTTTGGCCTCCATAAACATTCAACAAGTATCAGGGAATGTCAATGAGTGCAAGGTTTTCCATGTGGAGGACTTACACATCTTTGCTTCACATACATAACCATTACAGATAGCAATTTGTCAGACTGCCCCTCTGCTGTCATCTGTCACTTGGCAACAAAATTTAACAGAGTATTATCAGGAAGGTTCAGCCTCTACTTCCATACCACCACAATGGGCCAACATAATAAAATAGGAACTTTTACTTTCGGAGAAGTCTTCATATATATTCTTTCATTGACTTCTGTGGAACTTTAATAATTTATGCCAGTGGAGAAGTTAAGTGGTATTCAAACCTTGTTCTAGAAGACCTCAAGGTTGTCAGAATGCGTGCTTCACACACCATCCTTCAGTTCCAATTTCCTGTGCTGAAATGATGGTGCAAAAGTACTGTTCTGATGGGGATTTGGTGAATTCAAGTCATATTTTTATGACCTGAACATCAGCAGACATATTCTTTGAACAGTTTTATCTGTTTGGCGTCTGTTGAAAAGCAGTATTAATGTCAGTCTGTAGTTCTGATTCTGGGCTTTTGTAATCCAAAACAGCAGATTTTCAAATGCACCAGAATTGAAATGTAATGGCAAACAGTTGTCTAAATCCTGTTTGTTCATTTGAAAACACACTTCTGGCATCCCACATGAAAATCACATATCAGATGTTTGGTTGTTTTTTTCCTGTATGTAGAACATTAGTCGTGTGTCTAATCTTTTATCCATGCATATAGAAACAAGAAAGCAAAAAATTACACATTATTACTATTATTGTTTATTTTATACCAGAGGAATACTGTAAATGATTTTCCAGTGGAGTGCAGAGGTCAGTGAAGAGAATATATTTTTTTCCCACATATGTGAAACTAACTTTATGGGGTACCATAAAACTTGGTGCAGTGATAAAGTACACAAACTAGCTGTCAGAAGTACCACTGAAATACTTTCCATGGATGCTTTTACAATACTTATAAAACTCATGCAAGATTTACTTGATTACAGGCTACAGAATTAATATGCAATTGCTATGGTTTAGTGTAGACCAATTTTCCAGTTTCTTACTAATATTCGAAGGTTCTCCAGAAGATTAGACTTTACTGACCTTTTTCAGTATCTGTATTAATTCCTGTGTTTTTATTTTCTGAACAAAATGTCACGTATTAAAATGAGCAGATTTTTTTTTTTTAAATCAGACTTCCTTTTCTCTTTCAAATGCTCTGATCTAAATATCATTGCCTTTTTATATTGAGAATTGTAATCAAAAGCACTAAAACCTTTCCCTGATACATCTGTGCAAGTTTCTAATGAGAATGGAAAGAACAAACTCTTGGCTTTTGAACATGAACAGCTTCCTGGAGTTAAAGTGTTGCTTGTATAAGACTGATGCCACGGCTGGAAGTGAGATTTTTTCCTCTGTGTCCTACTTACAGTGACTCTTTTCATTTGGGAATCATTAGATGTAAGTTTAGTAGTAAGTTTAGTAAGTAGTAGTAGTAGTAAGTTTATAGTAAGTAGGAGTTCAGTTACACACATTTGCTTCATACGCACTTCCATGTCAGATACTATTTCATCAGACTGCCTCTCTTCTACCATATGTTGTATGCAACAAAATGTAACAGAAAATTGGCAGGAAGATTCAACTTCTACTGCCATATTATCAACTCCTGACTCTGATATTGTGGGCCAGTATAATAAAATAGAAGACATTACTTTCAGAGCAGCCCATGTATACATACAAACCAAGTAATGCAGAAGCAACTGCTCATCACCATCTGAAAGACTCCAAGCTGGTCCCCCAGAAGAAGCTGTCCCCACTATTTTCAGTTGTTGCTGTGTGTGTGTGTCATCTCCTAACTCCTAGTGCCCCTTCAGACTCCCTCTCTGGCACAGAATCACAGAATGGCCAAGGTTGGAAGGGACTTCAAGGATCATGAATCTCCAACCCCCCTGCCACAGACAAGGCCACCAACTTCCACATTTAGTACTAGATCAGGCTGCCCAGGGACCCATTCAACCTGGCCTTGAACACCTCCACGGATGGATGGGGCATCTACAGCCTCTCTGGGCAACCTGTTCCAGCACCTCACCACTTTCTCTGTGAAGAACTTCCCCCTAACATCCAACCTAAATCTCCCCTCCCTCAACTTAAAACCATTCCCCCATGTCCTGTTATCAACCCTTTCAAAGAGTTGACTCCCCTCCTGTTTGTAGGCTCCCTTTAGGTACTGAAAAGCCGCAATTAGGTCACTCACAGCCTTTTTTTCTCCAGGCTGAACAAGCCCAGCTCCCTTGGCCTGTCTTCGTAGGGGAGCTGCTCCAGCCCTCTGATAATCTTTGTGGCTCTCCTCTGGACCCTCTCCAACAGCTCTCTGTCTTTCTTGTACTGGGGGCGCCAGACTTGGACACAGTACTCCAGATGGGGCCTCACAAGATCAGAGTAGGGAGGGAAATCACCTCCCTGTCCCTGCTGGTCACCCTTCTTCTGATGGAGCCCAGGATACCATTTGTGTTCCGAGCTGCAAGAGCACACTGCTGGCTTATGTTACATTTTTCATCCATCAGGCCCCCCAGGTCCTTCTCTGAAGGGCTATTCTCAAATAGCCCTGGGATTCTTCCAGCCCAAGTGCAAAACTAAAGTTGCACTTGGTTGCTCATTAGAATCACCCAGGCCCACCTTTCAAGCCTGTTGAGGTCCCTCTGAATGGCATCTCTTCCTTCCCCCATGTCAACTGCACCACTCAGCTTGGTGCCATCAGCAAACTTGCTGAGAGTGCACTCAGTTCCCTCATCAATGTCATTGATTAAGATGTTAAAGAGCACTGGTCCCAAGACAGAGCCCTGTGGGACACTGCTTGTTTACAGCCTCCACCTGACAGCCATGACTTTTCAAAAATGATGGGGAGCGGCTTGGCAACCACCTCAGCCAGCTCCTTCAAAACTCTGGGATGCAGCCATCCAGCCCATAGACTTGTACACTTTCAGTCTCATGAGGTGGTCTCGGACTTGCTCTGCCCTTATAGCTGGGGGCAGATTTACTGCCCCAGTTCCCACCTAGAGGTTTAGGGCTGCAGGGCTCAAGGACGTGAGAAATATTAGAATCCTGACTGCCAGTGAAGACTGAGGCAGAACAGTAAGGGGAGCTGAAAAGCTGAAACATCCTGCTCAGAAACAACTAAGTTAACTGGTATGTTATCAAGATTGTTTTTCTTCTGAAGCCAAACTGTTGCATTGTAGCAGACAATATGTAAGCAAAAACTCTGACTCAGCCTAAACTAGGAGACAATACCCACCCTTTATTCCATAAAATTTACATCATGCTCAGATTCCATACTTTTCCATACATACCCATAAATTACCATCACCTATCTTACCTTATAATACACACATGCAGATATCATTCACATATTCTATAGGCCATCCCTCTAACTTGTCAATGGAGTTCATTTAGTCCATGACTTTGGGCTCCATCTGTTATAATAGTCCTTAAGGACAGGGGTGATGATGCACAGTTTTGGATTGTTGCACACTGAATCCAGTACTATTTCTGTTATAATTAATTCTTCTTTAACTTGAGTAATTCTTACTGTTATGCCATTAATAAGGCGTATAGCATTTATAGTAATGATGATATGCAGTACTATTTAGCAGCTAATATACAACTCAAATTATTGACTGTTCTAATCCAACATCAAATTCCCTTGAGATATATGCTAGACTTCCACATCTGCCCATATCACCCACCACCCAAGTCCTTCAACAAAACCCATCTCATAAATGGGCTTTACCTTCACCCAAAGCAGGAATAAACCAGACTGTTTTACCCATCCTGTTTCTGAACGTGCTGTTGTCGATTCCACCATTGTAAGTATATTGCACTTGCCATTGTGTCTTTGTCAGAGTCTAATAAAATCCACCTTCCAGGCCTTCCCATATTTATATTTCATCCATTATCGTCCCTAACAAAGAGGCTTCATCTATTTGGATTGCTTAATTATACAACTTCGACATTCGTGAGTAACCTGTGCAAAAGTGTCCATGAGTCAAATCCACACCATGATCCTGAGCCCGTCTTCATGTTGCATACTTTTCTCAATGGCCTGACATATCATGCGCCCACTGAGCTAGAAATATTTTACCCTTATGTTGCCAGTACAGATCTACCTGAGCCACTTCAGTCAAAGCATCGTAGAATCACAGAATCACCAAGTTC